CATCAAGCGGCGCACAACGGTCTCGTCCACTGTTTTGGCGATTTTATCCCACCAATTATTCATCTGCGCTGCTTTTGATCATCGTACCTTTTACCTTCAGTTTCCTCTTCATAATTGCCCAGTAGTTTTAATAGGCCTGAACTGAGGACGATTGGGCGGATTTAAGGTTTTCGGAACAAACTGTACTCCGTTGTCATTGTACCATTGTTGTATTTCCCGGCTGTAGTGACAATGTCACCGAATCATCATGTGACTGGATGAAGGGCAGAATTCGCTTCTGGAGACATTCGGTTTTGTAAACCTCCGAGTTCATCATTTTTTCAGTAAACTTTGTCTTTTGACCGCAGTTGGAAGTTCCCTGTCAGATCATATATTTTCGTGCGAATTTATCCACAAAAACAAATTTAAATCTGCCAGGGACACCTGCTCGCTCCTTTGCCTTGTAAAATTTTGGTCCTGAAAGCTGTCCGAAGTTGTCCTTTACATAGGTATCATCATTCATAAGTATGCACCCACGGGACTTGGTCAGCAGGTTGTCATACAGCTTTTGAGCACTGGTTCTAGCTACGGTATTTTGCTTGAGTAATCGATTTGGTTGCCTACTAGCGCGGTATGGCAGTAAGCCTTCGCGGTAGCAAATTCGCTGCACTGTACTACGGGCGGTATCATACTTTTTACTCAAATCGCGATCGGACAACCTGGGTTGCTTCTGATGGACTTCACGACCTTTCCATGGAGCTGACGGTTGGAAGTTCCACTCCGGAATTTACTTTGAGGCTTTCGATTCATCGTCAAGGTTTCCCTGTGTGTTCCTAGGAAAATTCAAATTGGTCAAATTGGTTTAGCCAGCTTGGACGCGGACCACGATGGATTTTCCAGGTGACTGTGCACGATTTTTTTTTCTACGGTCCATTTGCATGAGGCTCCAAAACAAAAGTGGTTTATTAACTGAAAAAATACACTGTTATTGTTATTGTGAACAAATAGACGGCAAAAGCTTCTGAAAACGTCAACTAGGAGCGCTGTAATAAACAAAATTTTGTTCCATTACTAAGAGGGCCATGGTTTATTCTCCTAAATTCCCTGCTTTCTCCACTGGAGTCCGTTCATATTCTTCATTGGTTTTCATAAAATTCTCAATTCTCGATTGAAATTATCCTTTGAACTCCCTATCCTATCCTAAACATTCCATTTAAATTTTCCACATAGTTTTTAAGTTACTGTCCTCTAAAATTCCGACTCGTACACGGTAAGAAAAAAAAAGTACCCAAAATTAAGTTCTTTTCACTCATCTCGGCACTATAGTGCAGGAACCCAAAAGTAGGTAAAGCGGGCCAAAGTAGTTTTCATTTACTTGTGTGCAATTCGTATGGAATTTAAAAAAATCTGTGAAATATTCAAAATTGAGAAAATGTGTTACGAAAATTTACAGACTTACTTCGGTAGACCCCGTTTAATGATGAAAAATAAAATTTGTCGATTTTATCGAATATTTACGAGTAACGGTTATTTGACTCCTGTAAAAAAAATTAAGTGTGCACACCTAATCACGGCTTCCCTGTTCGGTAATTTTTCTACAGTTTTCCAACTGTAAATCACAAAATAAACCGAACATTCAGCTACTATCAATAAAACTACTGATGTTCAGTAGCTTTTGCGACAAATTCTGAATACAAATCTCGTAGGTTTTTTTTACGCGGTACGTATCCCCGGGTAAAAAAAGACCTGAGTGTACTGTAATAGCATGTACTGAACTTTCCGTAAAATGACAGCTTTACGGTGAATGACTAATACTCAGTAAAATAGAGTACCGAGTTTACAGTATCCATTATGTTTTACTGAACAGTCATCGAACGAAATTCCATAATTGCTGATCTCACCCGTAAGTCAACTTGCTTGTGTTATCCTCATCCATTTCACATCGCGCACTTACTTGTTTGGAAATCTCTGTATTAATAGAAAATCTTTGTGAAAATAAATGAAACATCAGGAAGCCAACGCAAGATTATAGAAACTGACACGGAATCGACTTCCAGATGTTTTACTGTTAACAATTAACTAACATTGCCTGTTGTTGAGCTCCAGACATGGACACGCAATCCGGCACACGAAGAGAGCCACCAACCGGCCGAACCACCAGGAAGCGCTAAACAAACGCTACTCAATCCCAAAATAAAAATCGTAAACAATTAGAAACATTTTAATCCTACCCATCGAATGCAACCCAAACAAAATCATTACTACCAGTTAAGAAACTTTTTTGATGAATTTACTAACTTATTCATCAAAATACTGAAATAAAAATACTGAACAACTCAGCGAAAACAAATGTAAACAAATACATTACTGATATGGACAGCAATTTCTTTACTGACTTTAACAGTAATTTTTGACAGTTCAGAGATTCTGTGATTTACGGAGTTTTCAGTTGAATTAAAAACTACTGGGTTGATAACTGAAAACTCTGCTGTTTGAAAACCCAGTAAAATTTGACCGACTTCGGTAAACTAAAGCGAATAACCCGACGCCAAATGAATTTCCCTTTCAGTGTGTTGTTTCAGGCGCAAGCTAACATCATTTTCTGTCGAACTGTGCTGCGAGCTTAGCGAGAAATTTGTTTATGTTGCCGTGGTAACATGGATCAACGAGGATAGGTCCTTTTCTCGTGTTGCGCGAGTATTCACATCAAGGGGTAAATCTCTCAGCACATTGTGTCGAAATTGGAATCGGCACACCTCTGGCACAATCTCGTAAGCATTGGATTGTTGTAAATTCACAGCAGTACGAGCTGCTTGGCTGCACACTTTAATAAAATTGTTATGGTATTTTGCATAACGTCGTGCTTCGGAAATCATCCAAACGATTTGTTGGATAGTTCTATGATTTGGGTTATAATTCGTTTAAGGTATTTTTTTTAAGTATTCAAGAACATCCTCTAGGAACGAAATGTAGGATCTAGCGTGGGCTCGAGAGAAAGAGGCAGTTAATCAGACCCCATTAGTACCCTTCATTCAAGTAATGCAACTCACACAAAACAAACTACAGAAGTCATATTGATCATCTTCTATATTCGGTCTCCAATAATGTTCCCCAACGGTTGCTTTTCACATCACGAAAGGCTAGGTTTCTGGTCTGCCTTTGAGGACTTTTATTATTCTATGAACACAAGAAAAATTTCGAACACCCGCCACTTCCCGCGGCATCGTCTATCAACTGACGAACGAATACTATGAATTTGAGCATCATCTACAACCGATGTAGACATTTCATTTCTCCTTGGTTGCCACTAGACCGATTTATCCTTGCGATTTCAAACCAATACATTCAAGGTGTCAGAAATATTGGGTTGACACGTTGGGTATTTTAAAAACAATCGCAGCTTGCTCTATGACCGGCACAAAAAAGATGACCCAAAATTGGTGTGCGTAGTGACCTACCCCTTGATTCACATCATCAATATTATTGTCAATAATTCCCCTTCGCGTATACGTGTGGGGTTCGCTTGAGTGAATAAAGTAGATCAATCCATCATTCATACAAGCATATCAACACAAATTACAGAGATGAAATTTATGTCTTTCAATCCAAGTCATTAAATATCATGTCTGCTCGTCTACGCTATCGAGCAACTTATTTTATTGTTTCGATTTTAACACTCTTGTCAAGCATCATAAAAATCAAAACAAGCATTTTACAACTCGTTAAATGTACAATCATACAACTTTCTTCCCTCCTGGCATCAACTTTGGCCAGGCTTTACTTTCTTGGCGATCAGTGTGGATAAACGATCTCGGTCCCGCATTTATATTAACGCGTTCGTACGTTGCAATTATACGTTTCGCGGAAATCCCATTCTAATCTAGCGCCGCACAACCACCACATCAAGCCAAGTTCAAGTACAGGATCCAGCACTGCAGTCAGGTGGACATAACTGTAGTTGAAACACGTTTCAGAGACCAGCAGCAGCGGCGCTTTCCCATCGTTCATCCCAGCATGCGCTTAGGGGAAGGAGGCAAACAACAAGCAAGTGAACTCCATACCGTCACGTGACGACTCGATAAGTTACTCTACTTAAGCCGCTTTTATGGAGCGCAGTGGAATGAGGAAGGAAAGTCTTATTTCATGGATCAAGAGCTCGACTGCAGGTATTCCGTCATGAATTTTCATTATTTGATTAGTAAGCGATTATATCAATCTGCTGAAATGATCAAATCAGTTGATTTCAGGCTGTGACAATGTATTAATAAACCCCGCAGTCATTATAATGTTATTCAACAATTTTCACCGCCTAACAATCATTTACGCTTGCCTATATCCTTCTCCCGCTTGCAAAGTTAGCCGAACAGTTCCTACTCCACAAGGTATGAAGTCGATCGCGATTTTCTCAGTTTTCAATTTTCTCTCCGATCGATCCTCCAGCGGCGAACCATGCGAACATATCAAGTGTTTGGAATTGCTATCTGTCGTCGTCGGCTCGATAGCAACCGTGAGCTGGGGTGACTTTGGAGATTATTTATGTTGTTGGATAAGGTGATAAACTCGGAATCACATTTCAGCCAATTAGTTTTCTTTATGTATAGAAATACCCAAGCCACCCGTGCCTACGGTACACGGCAAGCCTGGCAGGCTTAGCAGGCGGGAGAAATTTTCAAGTTCAGTGCTAAGTATGCTGGCATGGCAAGCTAAGTTTTCTCAACTGCCTCCACCACCGTTTAGGCCCCGATGATGGTGGTTTAGTATCGATTCGAACGCGTTGTTATTTGGTTGGCTGTCCACAGTCCGGTCGGACAAGAAACAAAACACAGGCGGGAAACAGTGGAATTATCTGGTACAAACAAGTGAAGCTATTGGCACTGAGTGAAACGTGATGTGAAATTTAAAGGGAAAAATTGCATGAAATGGTGCTGCAAAGTGCTTCCGGGAGAAATTGGAGGAAAAATTTAAAGTGTTGAAGAAAGTGAAAAATTAAAAATTAAAAATTTGAAAAGTGAAACAAAGTGGAGGAAACATACAAAGCCGTTAGATGCAAGTGGAGTATTAATAAAAAAATCGGTGGTGTGTAACAGTCAAAAGTTGCAGTAAGGATAGAAGTGAAACATCAAGTGCCAAAATGAAGGTAAAGGAAATTCAATGAAGCATGAATAATGGTGCAACTTGCAAAACTTTAAATGAAGTATGCAGATCATGGTATAGGCATAGAAAACTCCCAACTGTCAAATGTAGAAATGTTCAATTAACACAATTGAGGGCAGGATTAAAGCCCCATTTGGAACGTAATGCTCACGAAGAAAAAGAAGAAGAAAAATCCTTAAATCAACCGTCTGTTATGCTCCTACATTTCCAATTAAATGTTTTAGTTTAAAAATCTGCTATTGATTACATAGTCGGTTTTATATAAAACTTTATTTTGCCAAGGCTCATTCACATTAGTTTTACGGAGCCGTGGATCAGTTTATGTATTAAAAAATATTTTAAAGCTAAAGAAAGTAGAACTGGGCCGATTACTCGCAGCATACTCGAGGTTAGGAATAACAATTGGTAAACATATGGAAGGAGGGCTAAGAACAAAGAACAAAAGAGTAAATTTGTGATTTCATCTCCATTATCGTTGTTCTGTTGTATTCGTCTATTGAACGATGTAGATGCACCGCAGTTTGACAAGTGATCTCAAAGTAAACGGGCCGACGATTGGTGACAATAACTGTAACGAAACACACAAAAACGAACTATATTGGAACAACTATGGAGGCAAAATCTTCAATTGAAAATAACACAAGCCAACATACTACTAAATTCTTAATCATATCTATTTTTAAAACATGTAAAGGCGACGGTTCTGGCTTAGATCGAATTAAATATGTTTCATCATGTGCATGATAGTGCAATTTGGGGTATTTGGTGATTTTCACCCACAAATCCCAGTTATTTATAATTCTCAAAACTTTAAATCATGATAAAGAAACAATTTTTTTTTAATTATAGTAACTTTAACGCTCTTGGGTTATTCGTGACTTGTTCGGGGTGAGATTTGAACCCGTGACTTTGGCGCCTGGGTCGCTCCCAGAGAAACTACAGTCAGTTTTCCTTATATCGATACTGAATGGACCCCATCGAGATAGGGAGACATTGACATTCAGGACGATATTCGCCTACTAGTACGATTCTATAAGGACTTTGGCCTCAAAAATTGTATTGGTTTATCCCGTATCCAAAGCAAAGCTCGATCGCTTACGTAGGCATAACAAGTGAACTAGATTTTTTCCTAGACATAAGGGAAATGGCCTATGGATGAAAATATTGGGCCCATAGATAAACATTACCCTTTCTTTAATTTTTCGTAGAACAATGCGTCATATGGACAATACAAATGGATAGTTTTGGTTGCTAGTGAAACATTTTCAAAAAATGCATTCCTTCGAAATTTATGTATGGGCCCAATATTAGGGACACTTAGGCCGACATTAGGGATATTAACTCTTACTCACCTTACCAATCAGGCTAAGGCAGAAGAAGTCGTCTCCACTCTACTCGATCCATGGCCAGACGTCGCCTGCCTCGTAGTCTGCGAAGGGTCCGCAGGTCGCCTTCTACTTGGTCGATCCACCTTGCCCGCAGCGCGCATCTTCTTCTTGTTACTGTTGGGTCGCTTTCGAGAACCATTTTCACTGGGTCGTCGTCTGGTATTCTTACGACGTGTCCAGCCCACCGTAGTCGCCCAATTTTTGCATTGTGGACGATGAATGGTTCTCCCAGCAGCTGGTGCAATTCGTGGTTCATTCGCCTCCTCCACGTTCCTTCGTCCATCTGCACTCCACCTTAGATGGTACGCAACACCTTTAGCGTTAGCGTTAGCGTTAGCGTTGTTATGATATACTTCGTAGATTGGATACTAGCGACACTCACGTCTCTTCTGAAATTCTCAGTAAGACTACTTTCAGGAATAATGCTGGGGAGTAAACATTGGTTCCAATCAAAACAAGAGTAACAGAAGCATGACTGTCGCTATTCCCGGCCACGCCCATCTTTACCATAACTAGGGATAGGGAAGGAAATGTTGATGTAGTACTTACTTAACGAGAGGCCACCGACTTAGCGACACCCTCATAAGTGCTACGGAGTTGGAGGGTTGGGTAGGGTATTCGGTTAGGATTCACCTCAAGTTGGCAATGCAACCAAAAGTATGTATTGTTTATTTGTTGTTTATTTAATCTATCGATAGCCGGCTATCGAAAGAACATATTCATTTTGTTTAGTGATCATGAATTTTAAGAGTCATGACGGAGAGCTTGGGATTAAACCCATGATTTTCTGCTCAGTAAGCAAAAACGATCCCTCCAGGGTCATCGAGCATCTCAGAACCATAACGCTTCGCGACAATACAGGACTACGTTTTCGCTTGATATGCAAATAGTTTCCAAGATTAATGTTCAATATCAAATATACAAATGGTGGTGGCGATTTATTGTGCTGTGGAAGAGCTTGAAATTAAATCCATGATTTTTTGCTCAGTAAGCAAAATCGATCCCTCCAGGGTCATCAAGCATCTCATGATCCACAGCGCTTCGCGTCAAAGTCCGAATATAGGAATGAACTATCTATTATTGAATAACTATTATTTACGATAATTACATGAAAGAAATAAAATATAAACTACAAACAAAACGTGACTACTAAAATCTCAAAAAGATATTCTCACAAATATATTTCATGCAACCAGGAATCTCAAAACCATTAGACCCTATAATGATACTCTGCACATGTTAGACACAAGAATAGGCCAAAAAGCAAACGTCCGACTCACAAAACCTGCCAAATCCACTTGCAGTCACAATCAACGGTTCTACGAATCGCGAGCGCTCACGAATCATGAAACCGCTGACTGCGACATTCTGAAAGCGAAATTGGCAGGCTCTATGCGTCAAACTCCCGTCCTCCAATCTCCTCCTGCATCCAACAACACAAATCTCCACTACAACACCTAACGAATAAAACTCCGAAAATCACTTTTTCTGCCTATCTTTCTATTAGGCCTGCGGACATGCGTTAGCTTCGAAACTTCTAACCAAACTAGGAAAATTTTCAGATCACAAAAAAAAAACTTTTAAACGTAATTACAAAATAAATATTGATTATTTTACGCAAAAACGAGCACTTTTGTATCGTATGCTAAAAATAAAGTATTAATATAATTAAATGCAAAATTTACTAGAAAATCATTACTTTATTGGTGAGAAGTTTCTAATAAGCCCTCCCAGTTCCTCCGTATACAGAACAAATCTGATACTATAATCAGAATTGCTCAGTCTGCATGAAGCAGCCCATTTCATCAAGGAAGTTCTATTAACAACCAAGAATTAATCGTTTGAGGCATACTGAAGCATTAAGAAGGTGATATGTGGAAATCATCATCGTTGCAAATATAAAGAAATTAAACATAACCCTTTGCTTCAGTATCGTCAACCTCCATGTCCATGGGGAGGGACTGTAACCGACGATCTTTCAAATCCGAAAACTAAAAACTACGAAAAAGTACTTAGGCCTTCATTAAGTTCCACTTTCACGCGACGTTCAATGACAGGGTCCTATCCAGGATTACATCTGAAAAATCCAAATCTGGCCAACGCCCACCTAAACCTGTTCTAGTCCACCTGAAATGACTAACGAATGGAAGACTTTGACTACCCAGCCATGCAATAGTCTCATCCGTGCCTTATGGCAACTTGATGATTCTATTGCGCTCATCTTTTGGCACCACCCAGGGGAGACTTGGTCCTGTACCCAATGCTTAACTTATCTCCATTCCACTCAGCTACTCGCAATTTCTTGTGATATAGTGGGCGGAATATTATTATATGAGACAATTCAATGCAGACGTCTTTCCAAATTTGGCAAATCGACAGGTAATCGGTGAGTTACCACGATAGTTGCTATTCAACAACTCGACAACGTCCCATCGTCAACGCCTGCTATGAGAATTTCCCATTGCAGACGCCAACGAAATGACGTCATCGAGCTATCGATCAACTACCCTGGTTATCGCCTGGTACCTTATAGCACGATGCTAGGAGGTGAACCGGAAGAATCGATGAGCTACCTCTCCCCCCCTTAGATGGTACGCAACACCTTCCATTCAAAAACACGAAGGACGCGTTGGTTCTCCATGAGCATAGTTCAGGTCTCGTGACCGTAGAGGACCACCGGTCTAATCACCGTCTTGTAGATAGCCAACTTCGTGCGGCGGCGAACTTTATTCGATCGCAGCGTCCTCCGGAGTCTAAAGTAGGCACGATTCCCTACCATAATGCGTCTTTGATTTCTTCTGCTGGTATCATTTTCTGCGGTCACCAGTGAGCCGAAAGACACGAACTCGTCGACCACCTCGATTTCGTCACCGTCAATCTGAACTCGGGGTGGGAGGCTAACATTGTCTTCCCTAGAACCTCTTCCTCTCATGTATTTCGTCTTCGATGCATTGATGGCAAGCCCAATCCGCTAAGCTTCAACCTTCAGTCTGACGTACGTTTCTGCCATCGTCTCAAAGTTACGTGAAATGATGTCGAAATCATCGTTTAAGCCAAGAAACTGGATGGACTTCCTGAAGACTTTGTCACTCGTGTCTATTCCAGCTCTTCTTATCATATTAACCCTATGGACAGTAATTTGTTCCCGAACAATTTCTATCGACCATCGACACAGAGAACGATCGTTTTTATCTTGAACTAGATTTATGAGAAACTGAAGAGGCTACTCAAATCATCGGGGTATAGAACAATGGATGAGAAATGAAGAGTTGACGGTATACCTTATTTGGTACAATTGTCAAATTGCTGTAACTGATGCTTTTGTAGACAATAACTTCAAACAAGGATGCTGTCATGACCTGTTCGAGGTTTCAAGCATCGAACATTTTCCACTATGATGATTCCTGTCAAATTGTCCCGCTTTGTTCGTAGCGTCCATCCGCTTTAAAATGTGTCAACAGAATCCTAAAACGAGCCATGAATGAGCGTCATGAATCTGATAATACATCTCATTCCGCACTCTTCTATCTCATAGCGTCATGTTAGGCATACGTCCAATCTCCCTTACTTCGAGTCCTGTGTTTTGATCGTTTCG